GTATCATATTTTCTGCCTGATTTATTGGTCCCGTTTATATTTACACTTTAGATTTTTATATCTAGAAATAATTCTTTATGTATAATACACTAACTTGTATCCCCTTAGTGCTCATGATTCATATATATATATATATATATATATATATATATATATATATATATATATATATATATATATATATATATATATATATATATATATATATATATATATATTATATATATATATTTATATATATATATAATTGTGTGTGCGTGTGTGTGTGTTTAAATCACGAAGAAATTAACACGTGATGAACAAAGTGACAGTGTCAGACTATGATGGAAAGGTTATGGCAGGAATTTCCTTAAGTACTTAATAATGCATCTTCAGAAGGATGGATTTACAGTTCAGTAGGTGTGGATATATAGGCAGGAAAGAGGTGAGGTAAGGTACAATGTCTTTAATGGGATATTAACAAGGTATTAGTGAGATAAATGTGTATCAATGATCCTACTCAAATTGTCATTTAACTGATCAATCAAAAATGTATCTAAATTATACAAATCATTGCTAATGTTCAAATTACATGATTTTGTAATTGTATTAAAGAAGATTCAATAATGTTCCTATTGAAAATGTTTTAACAGTTCGTTATTGAAGAAGCCATCTCCCATTCAGTTTGGTGAGAACTTTCTGTCAAATGAACAAACAAGGCATTAGACAATTGGCCGTGTCTTACAAAGTATTTATGGTGCAAAATTTAGAATTTTGCAACGTAAATAATCTGTAAGACACAGCCAATTGTCTAATGCTTTGTTTGTTCATTTGTCAGTAAGTTCTCACCAAATTGAATGGAAGAGGGCTTATTAAATAATGAAAGTACTTAAGGAAATTACTGTTTCAATTCTTCCTTCGTGGTCTGACACTATCAAATTTTTTATCACGTGTTAATTTTTGTGATTTACACACACACACACACACTCTCATATATATATATATATATATATAATATATATAATATATATATATATATATATATATATATATATATATATATATATATATATATATATATATATATATATATATATATATATTGGTGTATACTGGCAGCAGGTTTTCTTTTATACATATATCATTGAATATGACAGTATATTCTGTATTAACTATTTTCTGGTTTAGGGCTTCTATCCCTCTAGTGCTCTTGCATCAGGGTCTAGTTGGAAGAGTTCTCCAAAAGTCATGTCCGTATTCAAGGTGAAGAAAAAGAAGTAAATGACTGAAAACGAACATGACTTTTAGAGAACTTCTCTTCCAACTAGACCCTGATGCAAGAGCACTAGTTAGAGGGATAGAAGCCCTAAACCAGAAAATAGTTAATACAGAATATACTGTCATATTCAATGATATATGTATAAAAGAAAACCTGCTGCCAGTATACACCAATATATATATATATATATATATATATATATATATATATATATATATATATATATATATATATATATATATATATATATATATATATATATATATATATATATATATATATATATATATATATATATATATATATATATATATATATATATATATATATATATATATATATATATATATATATATATATATATATATATATATATATATATATATATATATATATATATATATATATATATATATATATATATATATATATATATATATATATATATATATATATATATATATATATATATATATATATACATACACCGGTCAAGGTTGTCATCAGTAAGTAGTCTATTTACTGATGATGACTTTAACCAGTTAGACGTTTTAACTTCTTTCCCATTTCACTGTGGTTTTTACGCATAGGTATATATATATATATATATATATATATATATATATATATATATATATATATATATATATATATATATATATATATATATATATATATATATATATATATATATATATATGTCGTCCCTATTAGCCAGAATGCACTACTCGGCCTACTATGCAGGGCTCGATTTGCCTAGTAGGCCGAGTAATTTTCTTTATTTAAAAAAAATCTAATTGGTTTATTTGAAATATTATTATTATATTATAATAAGAACATAAATTACTGACATAGTTATGTTAGTTTAGGTTAACATAGGATAGGTTAGGTTAGGTAGGGTTGGTTAGGTTCGGTCATATATCTACGTTAGTTTTAACTCAAATTACAAAAAAAAAAAACCCATACATCATGAAATTGATAGCTTTATCATTTCATAAGAAAAAATTAGAAAAATATATAAATTCAGGAAAGCTTGGCTTATTAGGCAAATTGGGTCTTGCATAGTAGGCCGAGTACTGCATTCTGGCTGCTAGGTACAAAATATATATATATATATATATATATATATATATATATATATATATATATATATATATATATATATATATATATATATATATATATATATATATATATATATATATATATGAGGGTATCACTTCTGGTACAAATGTGGGGACCCATAGCCTCGGCGAAGAAAATAAAGAATATTCAGAGAAGACCTTGTGGATTCTCATTGAACATTTTAAAATTTTCTTCTCCTACCACCCCTATTCTTTTTGTTTATATATATATATATATATATATATATATATATATATATATATATATATATATATATATATATATATATATATATATATATATATAATTAAACTGTTACAAAAAAAAGAGTTACTTATATGGTACAAAGATGATTATCGTAAGTTGTTGAGTTCCTCCAGCTCCTCAGATGGTGGGTAGGAACCCTGTATGCAGTATGCATTTCCCCTCTGTATTGCCACACTGAGGTTTCTTGAGATTATGTTGAGATGATTTCTGGGCTTTAGTGTTCCCATGGCTCGATCCTCGACCAGGCCTCCACCCCCAGGAAGCAGCCCGTGACAGCTGACTAACTCCTAGGTACCTATTTACTGCTAGGTCACAGGGGCATCAGGGTGAAAGAAACTCTGCCCATCGTTTCTCACCGGCGCCTGGAATCGAACTCGGGACCACAGGATCATGCATCCAGTGTTCTGTCTGCTCAGCCACCGGCTCCTGCAGGTGCTGGAATAGTAAGCTGGAAGCTCTAGGATCTCTTGTTGTTTCAATTAGCCTAGAACCAAGTTCCTTCAAAAAACTGGTGGCACACTTACCCCAGGCAACAAGAATTTCAGAAACAATGGGGACAAAATTGTAGTGGTGATCCAGTTCTCTGTACTTACGCGACTTGGCTGATTCCCTGTGAGTGGCAGCGCCACCCGGATGTGCAACACTGAAGTCAATGTAGGTGTTAGCCAGGGTTGATACACACGAGTAGTCCCATACCAACTGCTTGCCATTCTTCCAGGGCTTCACTGTATATACTGTGTGTATATATATATATATACATGTATAATATATATATTCTGTATATATATATATATACATTTTGCACTAAATGGGGATAATTGCCAGTTTGAGATAATTTTGTTCAATTGTGATTATGTAGAAAAACTAAATTTAAATGTTAATAGGAAAACTTATAAAGATAAGCATGATTCTAACTATTTACAATGTACCTCACTAGTACCCTACTTAACTAATAATTTGACCATAACCTCACATACCTTAAACTAACATGCTTGGTTATTATTAATTTACACTGTAGTTGATGATTAAAAATAGATAACATAAATGTAAATGTCTTTAACATTCAAGTACTGTAATGTAGAATTATTTTAAGTTTTCTCTGTTTACCTAATCAGCTGCTGAATAATACCTTATTATTATATATATATACATGGAAAAGAGCAGCTTATTGACAACACACCAACACCATAGAAAATAGCTTATTCATAAGAAATCTTACCGAGATTAAGAACAAATATAGTGCTCTGCTTTGCAAGCTAGAACTGGAGGAAGAGAGTACAGATATCCACACATATAGTTATGTAAAGAGCCACTTTATTTTTTAGGCTTAACAATTATTTAAACAGAGTTAGTTGCCATTATTTGAACTGAGGGGTGATTTAAACCCCTCCCTCGTTATTTAGGAGGCATAACAGCTGAGTGGAAAGCGCTTCAGATTCGTAGTCATGAGGTTCTGGGTTCGATCCCCGGTGGAAGCGGAAACAATTAACTAATGGGTAGAGTTTCTTTCACCCTGATGCCAAGTACAAAGATTTGGATATATATAGGCAGGAGAGAGGTGAAGTGAGGTACAATGATAAAAATATGACTGGGATTGTGTAGGTATGAATAGGAGCTATATCCTATGGGCCAATAGGCTGATACATGGGTAATAATAGCATAAGATAGAGAATATTAACAATGAATTAGTGAGACAAGTGTGTATCAATGATCCTGCTCAAATTGCCCTTTAACTGATCTATCAAAAATGGGCCTAAATTATATAAACTACTGCTAATGTTCAAATTACATGAATTTGTAACCTGTATTAAAGCAGATGCAATTATGTTCCTATTGAAAGTGATTTTACAATTCGTTATTGAAGAAGCCATCTCCCAATCAGTTTGGTGAGAATTTTCTGACAAATGAACAAATAATGCATTAGACAATTGGCCATGTCTTACAGAGTATTTATGTTGCGAAATTCCACATTTTAAATCGTTAGATGTTTGCTCAACATAGAACCTATTACAGTCTATACAAGGTATTATATAAATGACACAATTATCACTATGAGGGCTGTTTCTAACTAATAGTTTACAACAGTATTTTTGTAATTAAACATTACATGTACAGTATATCAAAAAGTTTCAAGGCCTTGACCATATTTTTAAACCCAGAAAAATATGGTAAACGTAACCCATTCTTTGGGCGAATTTTCTCACTGCATATATTATTATAATATGTACGATATGCTTTGCTACGGCAAACTTCCAAAAAACTCGGTGGATAACAAAGCTTGAAACCAATAGAATCAATATTCTTAAACTCTTCATCTAAGAATTCTGGACTAACAACTCGAATAACTTTT